ATCCCGGCGGTTTGTTCTCCTTCACGAACACCGTGTACTCGGGCTGCGCGAACAGCGGCGCGTTGTCGTTCACGTCGGCCACCTCCACCGACACGCTGGCGGTGGCCCAGAGCGAAGGCGAGCCCCCGTCCCGCGCTGTCACCACCACGGTGTAGCCAGAAATGCTCTCTCTGTCCAGGGCGCTGTCCAGCACCAGCGAGTAGTAATTCTTGTAGGTGGCCACCAGCTTGAAGGGGACGTGGGGAGTCAGGGAGCAGGTCACCTGCCCGTTGATGCCGGAGTCACGATCGGACACACTGATCAAGGCCACAACGGCGTTAATCTGAGTGTCTTCTCTGACAGGGAGTGACAAAGAAGTGATGGTAACCTCTGGGGCATTATCATTTATATCTAGTACTTCCACCAAAAGGGTACAGTGACCTGCCATTGGAATATTTCCTTTGTCCACTGCCTCCACGGGTATCTCATACAATTTCTTTTCCTCGAAATCCAGTAGGCCTTTTGTCTTAATTTCTCCACTGTTGGGATTTATGATAAATGCATAGGCTACTGCAGGCGATACTGGCTTTCTAAATGAGTAGACTATGTCTCCATTTGTGCCTTCATCAGGATCTGTGGCATTTAGTTTGATCACTAATGTTCCATTAAGTGCGTTTTCTAACACTCTCACTTTATAAAGGAGATGGTCAAACTCTGGGGCGTTGTCATTCACATCCAGAATATTGATCAGCAGCTGAACTGTGCCAGTCAGTTCAGGTTTACCTCCATCGCTGGCTGTCAGTAATAAACTATGTTCCTTTATCTCCTCTCTGTCCAGTGCTTTCCTCAACACAAGCGATAAAGAGGACGTTTGCTCACGATTGTTTTGTGTATCCAAAGCGAAATAATCGTTGGGATCAAGACGGTAAATCAAGGCGGCGTTTACTCCAATATCTGCATCAGATGCGCCATCTAGTGGAAATCTACTTTCCGGAGGTCTAGATTCTGCAATGGTTATTCTCTTCTTACTTTCAGGGAACACCGGGGGGTTGTCGTTAATGTCCTTCACCTCCACGTCCACATGGAAAACCTGCAGCGGCCGCTCCACGATCACCTCCAGGTGGATGTTACACTCCGCGCTCCGCCCGCACAGCTCCTCCCGGTCGATCCGAGAATTCACAAACAAAATGCCATTCTGCAGATTTACCTCCAGAAGGTCCGCGCGGCCCTTGGACGCCACCCGGAACAGGCGGGGCACCAGGTCCTCCAGCTCCAGCCCCAAATCACTTGCGATGCGTCCCACGAAGGTGCCGTGTTTGGCCTCCTCCAGGACCGAGTAATGGAGCTGGCTGCTTCCCACTTCCCAGGCAGAGAGGATCAGAAGCAAGACTAGCAGACGTTTGGCCCCTGGGCCTCCTCTCCAAGAAAAGAGCATGGTACACTCCAAAGGATTCGGAGATATCTGCAGCATATGAAATGCCTTGCCTTAAACTGCCTCTCAAAATCCAATTTTATGACCTCCTAATGTGGAAGAATTAATAAGGGATTTTCTAGAGGAAGAAAGAAGTGGTGGCTTTCTTCACAGAAGCGTTCTCAGTGAACAGCGACACCATGCGCATGAATGTGTAAGTGTAAGAATGCATCGTCAAAGTTTCCATTGAAGTATAGTTTTTTCCCCTTGCATTTCCTGATTTTTTTTTTCACTGCAAATATTTAAAATTAAATGTTTATCTTTCCAGAAACAGTAAATCGCTGTTTTTGCACAGACACCAATGTTAGTCAACAATTGATAAGTTTCATTTTGCCACAACTTTATTTTTAAATGTGTGAAACTTGCATGCAGAATTTTAAGAGGGAGAATATTTAACATTCTGTTTGGAACAATCAATCTCTCCTTTTAAATAATCATGTAGGTTTTGATGAGAACGTACTCTTGTAACGTTTTTCAAGGCCTCCTCATAAAACCATTGATTCCAACCGGAAACATAAGAATCGCATAAAAATAAAAAGAATGAACGTAGGAAATACTGGTAAATAACATGCAAGATTTTGACTAAATATATCATATCTATAAATCATCCCAATATGACTGTGAACTGTGGATAAAAGAGTTGAATTTGAAAGGAAATGTCTAGTGTGTGTGTGTGTGTGTGTGTGTGTGTGTGTGTGTGTATGCATAAACACATAATAATCTTGATCATTTAGATACGATCTTACTTTAAAGTTTTATTCTGTGTAAAAAAAAGTTTTATTCTGTGTGATTTAATAAAATTTAAATTACTACCAATAGATTAAACTTACCCTTTTCCATCCCTATTTTATTTGATCATCACTAAGAAAACCTTACTGTTATTTTAAATGACTCTAATTTTGCATATAACAATAACTAGACAAAGATATTAACATATCTTCAGCAAGGATGAGAGAAAAATAATCTTACCTTGGACTTTTGCTATAACTTCCTCTTCCAAGTTACAAAGTTCCAGGCCAAATGAATGTGTGTGTGTATATACATGGATATATATATATATATATTATATTTATATATATAATATTAAATATTTTTACATCTAATATATATAAATATACAGACAAATATATTCATACCTATTCCATGCATACCTCTACAGAAATGACAGCTGGGTTCACTTCTTTACTTCTGTTGCCCTCTGAACACTTGGGTGGAATATTTAGTATTCTCTTGCATTCATCATCCTCTTCTACTTTATTACTTCTACTAACATAGCTTTACTCTTATAATAGAAAGAGTCCCTTGATTCTTCACTCTTATAAAAATCAAGAGTTTCTTGATTCTTTTTTTTTTTTTTTTTTGGTTTGTTTGCTATAGGGAGGGTGTGTTCACTGGAGACAGAAAGAGAGAGAAAGAAAGGGAGAAATCACTCCCTCCCAAGGGGGGAGTGACCACAGTGCAATATCTCCTCCCCCATTCTCCTCTTGAGAGTTTCATATGTATGGATATAAACCTGGCGTGTTTTTCAAACCACTAGGTCCAGGACTCTACCCACTCAGCCGGCCATGTGGGATCCAGTCATCCTAACGTCTATGCCACCTGTCGGCCCCCCTTGATTCTTTTTATCCTTCTTGTCTATCATGCCCTACGTTACTTCACTTCTCCACATCAACTCGACTACATAGTCAGGAATTTGAAACACACCCTTCCAGACACCCAGGAATCATCCACCTTCTAACATTACTACTCTAATATTCGCTTTAATCTCCAACCCAGTTAACCGAACTGCATTTTCTCTATTCTTCCCGTTGAGTTTCTCAGTAAAAGTAATCACTTAACCATGGTGACTATATTCTCCACAAGTTTGCTCTCACTTTTACTTCAGTTGAACCCCAAGTAAATTCATAATTAACTCTCCCCTCCTGCGTACCGTGACTCTTCCACATTCTCTTATCTCTTTTCAAATTTTCAACCACATTCCCACCACTTTTCAGAGGATTTACCCATTGAAGATAAGTCATCAAACATGCGCTCAATGGCTCTTTTTATATATCAACTTTTTTATATTCTCTATTTCTCAGTTCCCACTAATTCAATGGGAAAACTGTCCCTACTTCTTCCCTTTTTTATTACATTTAATCATTGTACATCTTTGCAGTGTATAAAATGGTTTTTCCCACCAAGGATGCAGTGCATATTAGTCAAGTGAAAGATATTACCATATACATTATCGAGAGATAACTTTTCATTTTTGTGTCTGATAAATGTTTATTTTTCCTGATCCCCTTTCTCCCACCCCTTCTGTACTGTCTCTAGTATCTACAGTTGCCCTCCCTGCTGTTCTACCTTCCAGTCTTTCGGTTTCTGCCACAAGAGTTGCAGACATGTGGTATATATTAAGGGAGACATACAAAACCGTCCCTAGTTTTAAGGCCAACCTTATGTTCTTCAGCAAAATACTTTTAAAAAGATTTTTGCCAGAGGGCATGTGCACTCTCTAGAGAGAGACAGAGAGGAACAGAGAAAGGGAAAGTGAAAAATCACCCCCATGGAGAATGGCCAAACCACAATCTCTTCTTCTTCATTATCTTCTCAGGATTTGGGGCACACGTGCACATGCACCTGGCATGATTTTCAAGCTACTAGGTCTCGGAATTCAAACCGTGAAATTGACCATGTGGGATCCAGTGCCTTAACCACCATGCTGCCTGCTGGTCCCCTTTGCTATGATTTTAAACATACTGCAGTGAATTGAATAATAGCCCCACCCCCAAATGTGTGTGTGTGTGTGTGTGTGTGTGTGTGTGTGTGTGTGTGTGTGTACCCACATCCTAATCCTGGAACCTGTCAGTATTGCTTTATATGCAAATGATGTGATTAAACTGAGGATCTTGTGAGGAATAATTTATCCCGGGTTATTCAGGTGGGCCCTAAGTGCAATCACATGTACCATTTATAGAAGAAACACACAGAAGAGAAGACACCGAGAAGAGGAGGAGGAAGAAATTTGAGTAGTTCAGCCACAAGCCAGGTGACACCAACAGCCATCTGAAGTGAAAGAGACAAAGAACAGATTCTCTCCTCCCGCTCCCCTAGAGCCTTGAGAGGGAGTCCAGCCCTGCCAGCACCTTGATTTTGGACTTCTGATATTATTCAAACAGTGGGGGGAATTTTTCAAATTCTTTTTTTCTTTTTTTCTTTTTAATTGCTAGAGGGTGCATGCACTTGACAGAGAGAGGAAGAAAGTACTCCTCGGTAGGGCATGAAACATCGCAATCCTTTTTTCTCCATGTTTCCATCCTGTAGAGATGTGAGCCTGCACCTACAAGTGCCCAGCATGTCTCTCTCTCACTCTCTTAAGTTTTTGCTATAGCATTCATGAGTTTGCTGAAAGAAAGAGAGGGGAGAAGAGAAAAATCACATGCGCGCGCACACACACACACACACACACACACACACACACAGAGGATGGCCACAGTGCAATCCCTTCTCCCCCATTCTTCTCTCAGGATTTTGAGCATGCACACACGTGTGCCCAGCATGATTTTCAAGCTACCAGCTCCAGGACTCAAACCGTACAGTCAGCCATGTGGGATCCAGCCACCTTAACTTCCACACCACCTGGTAAATGCCTGTGTTTTTCAAATCGAGATAATCCTACCTGGGCCAGGATTTGAGCTGTGATTGACCATATGGAATCCAGCTTCCTTAACTACCAAGATACTAGACCAGCCCAAATTGTTTTTTACACCACCCAGTATGTGGTCATTGGTTACAGCAACCCCAGAAACTAACATACCTACCTACCTACCCACCAAAATATTTATGGAGGGAAGTTACAAGATGCACAAATGTAGAAGATAGAATAGTAGTATATACTATGAAAAGTTTGGGAACTTTTTAAACTAGTTTTGAGGGACCTCTTTCTACATAGCTTAAGTTTCAGGTAGGCATGATAATTACCTGTACCATAAGACTGATTTGGTAATTATATGAGATAATTCAGTAAAATATCTTTACACAGAACATGAAAAATGCTATGGAAAAATAAGTATATTTTATATTTTATTGAATCCAAAAATATCATTAATTGTAAGATATACCATTATTTATGTGCCAAAAAGAAAGAAAAATACAAAATATTTTATTCTGTCAATTAAATTATTATATACTTTCAGTGACTCATCTTTTTAAAGTTATTTATTTTATTTATTACTTTTGAAAATTTGCTATAGTACACATGCACTCACCAGAGAGAGACAGAGAGTGAGGAAAATGAGAAAGCAAGCCACCAGGTCCAGGATTCAACTGTGCTCAAGTCATATAGGAGTCCAGCACCTTAAACCACCATGCCACCTGCTGGCCCCATGATTCATCTTGATTTAGATGATGTTTAAATGTTTTTAAATTTTAAAAGGATTTTATTATATCTTATGTAAATAAAGATAACTCAGTAGCCAATTCCACTTCAAAGAGAGAAGGCAGTTGTGAACAACAACAGAAAATTATTCTACTCAGAATAAAAGATCTATCATTTTTACTATAGTGATAAATTTGGAATACAATATTATTATACTATCTGGACTGCACTGAAATAAAAAATGATGACAAAGGGGACTTTTTTGTTTTTGTTTTTGCAATAAGGCAGGTAAGTTAGACAGAAAGAGATAGAGAGAAGGAAAGTGAGGAATCAGCCCCCAGAGGGTGATAGCCATGCTGTAATCCCTTATCTATTCTCCTCTCAGAAGTTTGTGCACACTTGCACACGTGTCCAGCCTAATTTTCAAGCCGCAGGGATGAGAAAGTAGGCCATGTAGGATCTACCGACTTAACGTCCACACCACCTGCTGGCCCCCTCAGGGCTATTAAAATCACCTCAGCACAGGAGGAAAAATTAAGAAATCCAGTTAACAGGACCACTGCTATCCATGCAATTTGTCTGTAATCCTGATTTTCAGATGAAATTAGACATAAGTTTAAGAGTTATCAATCACCTTGAAAGTATAACACACCATGATTTTTCTATACTAATCATTCACAGGTGGGAAAATGATAGAAAAAGCAAATAAGTGATCAAAAGCCTCTCTATTCTACATACGTACGTATTGCACTAACTAAATGAACAAGAATGACAAAACCAAAGAGGAGGAGACATTCGACAATTTAAAGAAAAACATAAAGATACCAAAAACTGAAAATAGTTATAACCTTAAATGCAAATTTTTAAAGCAAACAAATATACTTAAATTATATTATTACTTACTTCACTGGAAGGATTTAAACAATCTTCACCAGTATGCGGAAGGCTGGGGCTGAAGGCCATGAGGTCGGTCTTGGGAGGGCCCTCCCCAGAGCACACCCTCTGACTCCTCCTCTGCTGAGAGTGCGACCAGCTCCCCACCGCGCTGGAGCACACCAGCGTCGGCTTCCCAGGCCCGCAAGCGCCCTCTGGGGGCGGCGCCGAGCACCGCAGCGCCGTGTACAGCAGCAGCGTGAGCACCAGCAGGCTGGACACCGCGCAGATGGCGATGATCAGGTACACGTTCACGTCCACCAGTGCCGCTTCCCGGCTCATAGCACCCACTGAGGCCCGCGAGGATGCCTTTGGCGTCTGGCCATTTTCCACCAGAGACACCAGCACAGTAGCGGTGGCGGTCAATGCTGGCTCGCCATGGTCCTTCACCAGCACCAGCAGGCGCTGGCGCGGCGCGTCCGCCTCGTCCAGGGCGCGCGTCGTGCTGATCTCGCCCGTGTACAGCCCCACGCGGAACGGGCTGCGTGTCCCGCTCGCCGCCGGCTGTAGCTCATACGACAGCCACGCGGTGTAGCCCGAGTCGGCGTCCACA